TTCGGCGTTGTGCTCATCTATGCTAGCGCATGGCCACCACGACTCGCTATTCATCATCTGTACTATACCATGGCTCCGCTCAAACGAACGCCGTTTTCTCGTGGTATAGCCTTTGGCGGGGGGGGGCGTTGTCGACATTGCGGTTTTATTTTGTGACAAGGCGTCTTGGGGTTCATAATTACAAGTGTTCTTTTGTCATGGGTAGTGCGTCTTGTTTATTGACTGTATGTATGCGGCCGTCCTTCAGCGGATATATTGTGACCCGCTTGGCAATCTTTTTGTTTTTCTATGACCGTTAGGGCCCCGCCCGTTAGGGCCCCGACCCGCCCGTTAGGGCCCCGCCCGCCCGACCCGCCCGTTAGGGTCCCGCCCGCCCGACCCGCCCGTTAGGGTATAACATGAGAGGAGAGATGATCTTTATGTGGGGGTGGAGATGCGGGGGGGATTGATATCCGCCGCAGGTGGGTGCCTATGCGGGTAGGTATTCTTGGCCTTGCCCTGTTAGACCCTAAACCCTAAACCCTAAACCCTAAACCCTAAACCCTAAGCCCTAACCCCTAACCCTAACCCTAAACCCTAAACCTCGCTCGCCTCGCTCGCCCCGGACCCCTGCGGAAAGGGGGGGAGGGGGGTGGGGGGGTTCCGACCCCCCCCCCTTCAAGGGGGGGCGGGGGGGGGAGGGGTTCCGAACCCCCCCCCCCCCCATTTCAAAGGGGGGGGGGGGGGGTTCGAACCCCCCCCCCCCTTAAAGGGGGGAGGGGGGGGGGTTTTCTCGGACCCCCCCCCCCTGAAGGGGGGAGGGGGGGGGGGGGTCCCCTGGAGCACACCCCCCCTTTTGTGTTTTCAAGGTGATCCACTGGCGCACTTTCGTCATTTCCCCTCTTGGCCGCCCCCGATAAATGCGGCCTGGAGCGAGATCAGCCTGGCCGAGCTCAGCCCGGCCGAGGTCCGCCCGGCCGCACTTTGCCTGGCCGAGTCTTTCTCGTGTCCCCCCTGCTCCCTCCCCTGCCCCGCGTCGCCACGCCATGCTGTGTCAAGCTACGCGTTGATCTTCAACACCATGCTATGCCATGTAATGCTATGCCCTGCTGCGACATCCGACCGTGCGAATAGAGAGAATATCTACGCCATGGTAAGGGATGGGAGGGGGGATAGGACGTCAGATATGACACGAGCGCACCTAGCTTGCCTGTCCCTCCTCCCACATCTCCCCTTGGAACGCTCGAAAAGGGTACAATGTCACACAGCAAGCGATGCCCCAAACCGACAGCGACCGCTGTGGGGCGGGCGGCCTTCTGTCTCAAGTGGGCGACGTCCGCGGCGACACCGACAGCGAGGCCTGCTCAAAATGAGCAGAAACTGCTGTCGGTCTTTGTTCCCATCCTCTCCGTACCCATCACTGAACGGGCGAAGAACGGTATACAATCAACTTTTTCGCTGTCGATGGCGCCTGTCCCAGGGCGGCTGGAAATCTTATACCCTTACGGTGGCACTGTAGGGGTATAAACTGTCCAGCCGCCCAGGGGCAGGTGTCCCCGACGGCAGACAAGCTGATTTCATACCGTTCTTCGCCCGCTGAGTCGCGATCGTCCCCTCTCCCCCGCCCGCCCCCCCCCCTGGGGAAACCAATAGGTACCGACACCGCTAGCCCCGGGACCTCTCCCGGGGTGCGTTCTGAAGCGAATCCAGCGGTGGCGGCGATGGCCTCCCAGGAGGCCGAAAAAGGGGAAAACGGGAGAGGGGGTAGAGGTATGCGTACCTTTTCCTCCTCTGACCGCCCGCACCCCCCCCGAGAATCCCGACGCCATGAGATTGCTGCAAGACGTCGACCCCCAAAAAGCCTCGGCCACTCCTGCCCAAGGACTGGCCTCTCGTCCCGAGCCGTCCCGTGACTGTCTCAAGGTCAGGTCGGGCACGTCCTCCTACAGGCGAAGTTCGGACGAACCCACAAAATAGAAACAACAAATAAATAAATTGAACAACGATGTTTGAATATTCCTCCTGTAGAGGGACGTGCCCGACTTAATCCCAAGGCCTGGTAGGGGCCCCGAGACCCAGACATCAAGCGAAACACCTCAGGACCAATTTTCCGCAGGACTTCCTGGGTCCCGGAATCGGCAGGGCCGGTTTCCCCCCCCCCCCCAATTTCCGCAAAAATGACTCTTGGGAATGGAAGCCGTGAAAAAACAGCAATTTGAAACGGCAACAAAAAACGGCTCCGGAATTGGAACTGGAACCAGGACTGGCAACAAAAACCACGACGGAGCCCAACAAACAAACGGCGCCGAAACCAGCAACAAAAACAGCAAAACGGAACAGTGCCAAAAACTGCCCTGTCGCTTCCAGGGCCCACTTGAATCGCTGCGGGGGTTGCTAAGGGGATGGGAGGGTTCGAAGCGGATTCTAAAGGTGGGTTCTATCCAGCCTATCCCAGCTTAGAAGTGGGTTGCACGTGCCCTAAGTGGCTCAAGGGCGCACAGATCTGGGCGAAGTGGGCGGAGCCCACTCAGCGGAGTGACCTCATCATCCTGAGCCGCATCGGGCACTTGCAACCCACTTATAAGTTGGGGTAGGCCAGATGAAACCCAATTTAGCATCCACTTCGAAACCCCCCATCCCCTTAGCAATCACAGCGGCGATCCAAACACTAAGCCTCACCCGGACCCCCGACGTCGTGATTTCTTTGCAACGTCGACCCCCAGAGGTCTGCAACCCTTCCGCGGGACTGGCTTTTGTACTTATTTGACGGTCCCGCGGGGCCCGGTAAGGGCTCCCGGTGGCCGAAAAATGCGAAGAGCCTCCCGTCGCGATTCCTTCTGGGCAGGACGCGTTTCCCCCATGACGATCCCCCGCCCCGCCCCGTCTCTACTCCCCCAACTGAGCCTCAGGACCCAATTTCTTGCGACGCCCAAATGTCAGGATAACATATAATCGGATCGATAACCGACTACCACCGATACTAAATCATACCCCCCTTCACCCCCTCTAACATTGTTTATCCCAAGCCAATGGGATTTATTTGTGGAGAGGGCGCGGAGGCCGAACTTGATAATCTCTGGGGAAGTTGCGAATCGAAGTTGCTATCATCGGATGTTGATCAGCAACAGCATCAAAAACGCTGAGCATGGCAAAGGTGGTCTCACCATTTCAGCTTCCGCAATCACGAGCGTGTGGCAGGGCGATGGGATTCTCACCATTTCAACTTTCCCAAGTCACGAACGTGCGGCAGCGCCATGGGGTTTTCACTTTCTGAGCCGTTCCCGAGTCAGGAACGTGTGGCAGGGCCATGGGGACCGATTGGATTGTGAAGTTACACGCGTTTTTTTTTCGAGCAGGCAGAGCATTGGATGTACGTTTTTAGGGTGTTCGTCACACGGTTCGTGGCCCCTCCTCCGTTTTCTTGACTTGGAGAGGTTTCTTGGCCAGGAGCGCCAAGGACCTCTCTTGCGCAGGCAAGTTGTAGCCACGAGCCTCGAGATATCTCGAGTCAGCCTTGTGCCAAGATCTACAAGGTTGGGTTACACGGGTGCCCAGGACCATCATCATCAGCATCATCAGCATCATCATCATTAACATCATCATCATCATCATCATCATCATCATCATCATCATCATCATCATCATCATCATCATCATCATCATCGTCATGTTCATCGCAATCATTATCAACATCATCAGCATCATCACCACCACCACCACCATCATCATCATCATCATCATCATCATCATAACATCACCTTGTCCGGGGAAATATTCGATTATCCCCGCAAGACCCCCGAACTTTCTTATGCCCAGGGGATTGTTATCAGCGGTAGTCGGTTAATTCGGATCGACGATCGACATGAGTAGGATCGGCGGAAATCGGCAGCCAAGTCGGGAGAAACCGAATCGGCGGGATTTGGTAGGCCACTACGGCCTCCATCGAGACATCGGAATCACAATCGAAATCCGAAGTCGAATCGAATCGGAATCGAATCCCTCAAAATCGAACCCCATGGCGATCCCCCGCCCCACCCTCTCTCGGCGGCGCGCACGAGGGGGTAGGGGGGAGGGCGGGAGGCTCCTTAGAGAAGAGGGCTGCTTCTTAGAAGGCGCCAGGCCCGCGCCCTCTAAGACGCAGGGGTGCTTCTGAGGAGCCTTCCCCCCTCCCCCTGACCCCCCCGTCGTCGTCGTCGTCGTCGTCGTCGTCGTCGTCGTCGTAGTCGGCGGCGGCGGCGGCGGCGGCGGTGGCGGCGGCGACGGCGACGGCGACGGCGACGACGCCCGCCGTCGTCGTTGTCGTACTCGCCGTCGTCGTCGTCGTCGTCGCCGCCGTCGTCGTCGTCGTCGTCATCGTCGTGGTCGTCGTGGTCGTCTTCGTCGTCGTCGTCGCCGTCGTCGTCGTCGTCGGCGGCGGCGTCGTCGTCGTCGGCGCGCACAGGGGGGTATGGGGGGGGGCGTGGAGCTCCTCAGGAGGAGGCTGCTTCTTCGAAGGCGCCGGCCATACATCTACAGACAAGGCCCGCGCCATTTAAGAAGAAGCAGGGGGTGCTTCCAAGAAGCGTTTCCCCTGCCCTTGAATCCCCGCCGTCGTCGGCGCCGCCGCAACCGCCGTCGTCGTCGTCGTCGCCGTCGCCGCCGTCGTCGTCGTCGCCGCCGTCGTCGTCGTCGTCGTCGTCGCCGTCGCCGTAGCCGTCGCCGTCGCCGTCGTCGCCGCCGTCGGCGTTATTCCCTGCCCCGGCAGGTCTGCGCTGGACAGGATCGCGAAATCGGATCGGATCGAGAGCGGATCGAATCGCCAGCGCTTCGCCCCGAATCGGATCGGCATCGAATCGCCGCGCCCCGCTTCCGGCGGGCCCTGGCCGAGGCCGGTGACTGGTAAGCCGGATCGCATCGCATCGCAATCGCGGCCCCAGCCGGCGTTTCGAACCGCACCGAAGAGTCGGCTCGCAGGCGGCCCTGCCCGGCCTTTCCCTGCAGCCCCGGGCGAGAGGCGCCGCCCCCGGCGCGGTTGCGGCGGCCTCCGGAGGATCTCGTCCTTGACCTCGCGCGGTGGCAGCCACGCGCGGGAGCCCTGCGCGGGGCTCTCCTCCGCGGCAGCCATGCGCGGGCGCGGGGGCCGCGGGCCGCGCGGCGGAGGGGGAGGGGGGGGGGGGAGGAGGGGGAGGGAGGGGAGGGAGGGGGAGATCTGGGGGCTATGTGAGGACAGCGGCCTGCCTCCGATAATGCAGGCCCGGAGGAGCGAGGAGGTGGGATAGGCTGCGTCGGCGGTCCGCTAGCTCTGGAAAGCGCAGCCTGTTTGGGCCAAGTTTCCGAAGTCGAGCAAAAAATATTGTAAATGCATGTTGGATCCAGGGAACCAAGCGCACATCATGAGCTTGCATGTATCGGGCACGCGCAGCCTGCTCTTCGCATGACCGTTCGGTGCATGTTACTCCGCCCGCACCCCTCCTCCCCCGCCGCCCGTTCGCCCAACCCCCTCTCCTAACCATCCTCTTCCCTTCCCCCAGCCTTTCGCTTCCCGTTCCTCATTCTTCTCATTATCCCCCATATTCCTCCCCCCCGTCTCTTCCGCATCCTCCGTGTCCTCCGTTTCCTCCGTCCCTTCCTCCTCCTCTTCCTCATTCTTCTTCTCCCCAGTTCCTTCTCATTCCCCTCCTCCGACCCCCTCGCCTATCCCCCATTCCCCTTTTTTCCCCTGCCCGTCATCTACCCCCACTTCCCTTGCCAATGGGACGAAAATGGGGGAACCTCGCGTGGCCCAAGATGGCTCCAAGCAGATCTCCATTGGGGGGGTGGTCTTGAGGCCGCGTTGCGCTGGTATCCGAAACACTTAGGGCGTTTTTCGCGTCGTCGCACTGTCGGGCCCGAGGCGGGCCAAGGCGGCTCGAGAGCGTCCAAGGTTGCCTAGGCGGCCTCCCGCGAGACCCTCGAGGTGCCCACGACCCAGAAAGGCGGGTTGGGCCGAAGGTCGTTAAAACAGCGCGCTTGGGCTGCGATGCGCGCGGCGCTCGGAGGCGCGGCGGAAGGGGGCGGGGGGAGACGGCAAAAGGATGGAGGAGGCATGGGGGGTAGAGGGGTGGGACAGGGGATGGCGGATTGAGGCCCCCCCTGCGCCACTGCAAAACACGGCGCCATCTCCGCGCTAGGCGATGGCAAGCATTGACTGGATTCTTCTTCTTCCTCCTCCTCCTCCTGCTCCTCATCCGCCTCCTCTCGTTCTCATCCTCCTCCCCCATGTCTGCCCCTCCCGCCGCCCCGTTTGCTAATTTGTGTTTCTCCTCCTGGCCTCCCCCCTCTGTCCTCGTCCTCCTCCACCTGTTCGCCCGATACGATCCCCCGTCCAGCTCCTCCTCTTAACTCCTCCACCCTCCTTGTCCTGCGACCCCCTCTCATCATCACTCCCCTCCGCCCCCCCGTTCTCTTCCGCCCCCTCCTCCTCCGCCCCCCCTCCTTAGTACCAGCAGCATGCTGGGTAACTGGCCTAGGGCCTAAATCGTGAGCGAGTCGTCGTACGCCAGCTTCACGCGCGGGCGCAGGACGGCAGGCGCAATCCTCGAGTTCTTGAGCCAGGAGCGGACCAGCACCATCTGCTCACGTTTCCACACTGCGTCCGTGGAGCTCGGATCCTGGATGACGGTCATGATCTTCCGCGTGGCCACCGCGGACTCGACAGTCTTGATGCCCTCCTTCAGCGCGAGGCTCTTCTTGTCGACCTTGACCTTGAGCGTCTGGAACCTGTTTTCGAGGTGGGTCTGGTCCTACGAGGCCGCAAGGGCAAGAGGACAACGCGACATGCGATGAGAGGACGAAGAGACTCAAGCCACCTCGCATCGAGATGGAGGCGAGAAGACTAGAGACAGTAGCCACCCCACCCTCTTCCTCCTTCTCCTTCCCCTCCTCCTCCCCATCCTCATTGTCATTATCCTCCTTTCCATGTCCCTCGGTCCAGCTTCAGGTTCAAGTAGCTGCTCTCGATGATGTCGAGGTCGGCCCACTTGCTGATGGTGTCGCCAGCGACGCGGAGCACGTCCTCCCACGACTTGCCGCCGTCGTTCGCCGCTGCGACGAACTCCTGCCACGACGACTCCTTGTCAACGGAATTGATCAGCTTGTCCTGGGCATCTGCGTGGACGGCCAGGGCGCCGTGGCACAAACGCTGGCTCACCTGCTGGTGCTGGGCCCTGGCATCCTTCAACGCCAACTTCGCCTTATCGAACAAAGCGCTCATGTCATCATCCACGGCCTTGTTGATCAGCGGATTTGAGAGAAGCAGCTCGCGATCCAGCTCGACCAGGCGCTGAACCACAGCGCTCTCGTCTGGCACAGAGGCGCCCTCGGCGATGCCCTGCAGCTGCTCACCCAGCAATCCAACAATCGCCAAGGACTTCGACGCGCAAGAGATGATTTGGGAGACGATGCTGCAGTCCTTCATGCGCGCCGCGGGCACTGCAGAGACCAATGCCTGGGCGGTAGCGGGGAGACGGAGACAAGGAGCAGCGATGCCCAACGATACTGGGCCTCGCAACCCAACCCAGGAGAAGGCGGAAGGGTAGAGGGAGGACCAATATCTGTTGAATAGCATAGCATCCCAGAGCTGACCGCGAAAGAGCCAGCGCAACTCCTTGTTTCCCCCCTCGCGAGCCGTCTGGAGAGGCGGCGGCTCGATACATCTATGTGCATTGTTGTTGCCCGTGGTGCCCGGAGCAGCTCCACTTCGAACTCGATATCTTTCACCTTGAAGTCGGTGCAAGGCGCCTGGGCGATGATGCGCATGAACAGGGCCAGCGCTGCCTCACGCCCCACCTTATCAAGCTTTGAAACGTCAAACGACATCAGCAACTTCGAAAGCTCCTTGGCATCGTTCTCGTCCCCCAGGGTGTAGGACTTCATCTTCTCGCTGACGCCTGCCTGGTGCCTGTGAGACTGGAACGCCTTGAGAACAGTGTCCAACTTCTTCTGCAGAGGCGTGATGCTGCTAACGTCGATGCAACATTCTGTGAGCTGCTTAGCGAGCCTCAGGAAGGCCTCCAAGGTCGCCATCGTATCGTTCATATCCCCGTCTGGCACGGAACCGATGTCATCGACTGGGGCGCCGTCCACGAGCTTGCTGATCAGAGTAGTGGCCTTGGTCTTGAGGGTGATCTCGAAGCTGTCGGCCGCGCCCTTCGCCTTGGCGTGAATGTCTGGGAGGTCCTTTGCGTGCCCGTAGAGCTGCTCCGCGGCCTCGACGGTTGGGCTGCCCATTGCGCTCATGGCAGTGGAAGCCGCAGCGACTATAGGCGCAACCTTCTTCAAATTCTCCACGTTGGCCTTGACGTCCTCCAGCTTTCGGCTCCAATCGACGCTGGATTTGATTGCGTGGCCAGCTCCCACAAGGTCGGGCTGCATGCCGACCTCTCGCTCGCCAAATCCAGCTCTACAACGTCATCCATAGTCTTGTCCTTGAACGCGTCCTGGAGGCTGCCTTCGGAGATGAATGCCAGACAATCAAGAATCCGCTTCCCATGCGAAATCATATACGAGCTGTCCGACCCAATCTCAGCTTCAGCGCCGATGGCGTTCACTAAGTTGAACGCGTCCCTGAAGAGCACGATGTTCTGGGCACCCGCCTCGCCCAGTCCGATCCAAGAACACAAATGGCCCTTGAACAATGTCGCCTGGAAAGTCGACGCGGCCGCTGCGTCGGAAATTGGGAGCCGACGCATCAAAGGGTCCGTGATCTGGAAGTCCCCGATCTCCTCGGGGTCGCGGTGAAGCTGCAGCCTCTGGAGCGCCTCCTGGAGGCTGGCCGTTCTCTGAGCCACTGGGAGGTTATGGTTCGTGAAGTCAGTGAGATCGAGGTCCGCGTGGGCCACGCACAAGCGAATGAGCGTCATCTTCATCCACTGGATGCCTGCCTTCTGTAACTTGTCGGCTTCAACCTTCAATTCCATGGCAGATAAGCTCTGGATGTTGCCCTCCCTGAACTGCTTCGCACGATGCATGTGCAATTTGTGGGTCTTCAAGCGGTTCCTGTCGTTATCGTCGAGCTTGGGCAGCAAAGTGTCGATCTGTTTTTCCTGGTTGCCAATGGTAATGGTATTCTCGGCGATGGCCCCGAGCGGCGACTTCCATATCCAGTAGTCGGCTGTCCCTTTCGGCGGCGCGGTCCCGATGAACACGTTCTCGTCGACGAGGCTCTCGACTCGACTCTCGACAGCGCTCTGGCGAGCCATTCCACTGGCAGCGTCGGACTTCCTGTTCGAGCCTGGAACGGTCAGCCCCAGGCCGCTGCCCTCTGGGGTGCCCGGGGCCGCGTCAGAGTCTGAGCCCCCCTTCTCACCCATCTCGCCCTCAGGCAACTCATCTGGCGGCATCTCGGCAGTCACCTTCTCGACTAGGTCCTCAACCGTTTGCGCGGCCTGGAGGTTGAAGAGGTCGCAGCTTTCCAAGAGGTCCGTTGCCAAATGATCAAACATGATGTCTCCTTGTGCCTCGAAGCTCTTCTTCCCGTTGAGCACCTTGGTGGCCGACTTGATGCCGAAGCTCCTGACGACGTCCAAGACTGGGGCCACGTGCTTGCGGAAGCGGGAGATGTAATAGTCCTGGGTCTTGGTGGAGCCCTTCTTCTTGAGACGCACGAGCTTGAGGCCGATCTGGCGCGGCGTGCGCTTGAACCTGCGGATCGGATGGGCCCCCCTTCTCCTTCATCCCCCATTCATCCTCTCCTCGTCTCCATCTTCTTTCGCTCCTCCCCCGCCGCCTATCTCCTCCGTCTCCTCCTGGGTACCACCTAACCCAACCCCCTTCGTCCCCCTTCTCCTCCAGCTTCTCCTCCTCCTCCTCCTGCATCTTCTCCATCCCCTTCACTCCCACCCCCTCGTCCGCCTCGTCCTCCCCGCCCCTCCTCTTCCTCGTCCTTCCTCTCGTCGTCGTCGTCGTCGTCCAGCACCTCCTCGAACGCCTCCCCATCTCCCTCCCCCTCCCCTTACTCAGCCTCATTATACCCCGCTATCCTCCTCACCCCTCCGTTTCCTCGTTTTCCTTCTCCAGCCCCTTCTTCGTCTACTTCCCCCCCCCCCCCCCCCCCCCCCCCCCCGCATCCCCATGCTTCCTCCCCCATCTCCCTCCTTCCTCCTCGCCCCCCGCCTTCTCCTTCCTCCTCCCTCATCTTCCTCCGAGCAATTGGTGGATTGGGTTGGATTGCGCTCTCACGCCCACGAAACCTGCTGACCACCTGCTTTTTCGTCAACAGCTTGTAGCGATACCGCACGTACACGCGCTGCTCCTCCTCGGTGGCAACCTCGATGTCATTGGACTGCTTGGAGCTGGAGCTGCTCGCGGAAGCGGTCTTGATCTGAGAGCGGACCTCCGCACCGACAGTGGCGACCACGCCCATGGGCACGCCTGGCAAGGACTTCTCTGCCCAGGCCGCGCAGTTGGAACATACGGGGATCGCAGTGCCGTCAGGGTGGGAGTGCGTCTGATCATCGACCCCATGGCGGTCCTTGGCGGTCTTCTCGCATACCGCGCAGCTGCCAGAGGAGCGGCGCTTCGCAGCGGCTGATGTGGGCGCGCCTGATACGACTGTCCCTGTGGAAGCTCTCCGCTTCGCACCTTTAGCAGCAGCAACATGCTTGATCTGTCTGCCGCGGGCGCCAGCAGGAACGGCCCTTGAACTGGCAGCGCGGCTCCTTTGCGCAAAGAGCTGGTCGGCAGACCCTTGCCCGCGCCCGCGCCCTGCGCGAAGACGGCTGGCGGGATGCCTTCCACGGCCCCCGATCTGGCTGACGGAGTCGCCAGGGGCAACGTCCTCGCCAGCGTCGTCTCCGTCACTGTCTGCTGAGCCGCCCTCGGCCGCCTCCACGGCCAATAGATCGGCGCCAGTACGCCCGCCCGCGGCCAGTCCGCCACCGTGCCTTGGCACGACGTAAGGCGTGGAAGCATGCCAAGGATTGTTTGGCATGGTTTCTGTAGTCTTTTAAGGCCCCCCGCCCATCCTTCCCTCGCAGGCAGGGGACTGCACCACCCCTACTCCTGGAGGGTGCCTGGGCGGCCATGGCGCCCCCCTGGAGCTCTCCAAAGCCTCCGCGACGGCACGGGAAGCCCACCCCGACCGCCGAGACGCCCCCCAGACAACCCACGAGCGCCGATGAGCCCCCGAGCTGCCCCCACTACGGCCCAAGAACCCGCCACGCCGCCCCAAGAGGCATCCAAGAAACCTCCCAAGAGCGCCCCAAGAGGCACAATTCATGGATTTTCCATTCGTGGTTAAAGGATTTGGGTGGTTCTCGTCTGTTCGGCTTACCGACGCTCCGGAACAACCCAAGACACCTCCAAGGTCGCCCCAAGGAATGCCCAAGCCGCTTCCAAGAGGACCCTAAGACTGCCCAAGAGGGCCCCAAGACGGCCCAAGGGGCCTCCGAGACGGCCCAAGAAGCCCCCAAGACGGCTCCAAGAGAGCGCCCAGACGGGATGCCCGAATTGACATTTCGAGCTTTCCGCCCCCAGAGGCCCCCAGGAGACCCCCAGGAGGTCCCCCAAGAAGCCCCGAGAGCCACCCAACGAGCCCCCAAGAGGCCCACGAGACCCCCAACAGGCCCCAAGAGGTCCCCCAAGAGACCCCCCACAGGCCTCAAAACTGCTCCCCAGAGCATCCCGAGAGCCATTCGAAGAGACCCCAGAAACATCCATGAGGACTCTGACTCACCACCCAGGCACGGTGGCGGGACTTGCCGAAGGCAGCATGGACAACTGATCTTTCACTGACATGCCTGACCCGCGCGAATGACCCGCGCGCAGAATGGATGAGACACGAGCAGTATTGGTAGCAGGACGGGGACTTGGGCAACATTGCTATGACATGTGCTAGGCTACTGTGCTGTAGTTGCTGACTTTGGAACCATGTATGCACCTACTGCCTGCAAGCCAGCTGCTTCTACGTTGGTGCCCAGCAGCCGTGGGCGAGTTGTTGGTTTGTAGTAGGCGCGTGACAGCCACCATCATAATTACATGCGTTGTCTACATATATACATGTGTGCGCATATACATGTATGTATATATATGCGTATATACACGTATATCATCAGAGTTGGAGGCACGTATGTATATAGATGTGCTTCATTCACTTGTGGCGTTGGCCATGGCGCAGCGTTCCTCCGATAGCCCCGAGGAGGCCCCAAGGCACTGGGACTACGACGCACACCCCTCTGCAGCATCCGTCGAGGGGGGAATGGGCGGAGGAGATAGGGGGTGGGCTTCGAGGGAGGGGCGTCAGCTGGCCATCTGGAATCAATGCAGGGGCGGTGGGGCGAAGAACGCCACCCAGCGAGGCACATTGGCCAGGGGCACCGCCGCGTGTTGCAGTAGGGGGTTTGCGTTGAATCAAATGTTGGGGTGCGAGGGGGATGGCACTCTCGGGGCGCTCGCGGGGCCCTCGAGAAGCCGCCGCTCCCGCGGAGGTCCGAAGCTGGCCGCCATCCGAAAGCTGTCCACCGACACCTGCGCCAAAGCACTGCATGTCCCAGGGGACCCCTTCAGTGCAAGCATAGATGGGGGAACGCGCAACCTTAGGATGCATGGAAGCATCGCGGGGCCATCTTGGGCTCTCTTGGGGGCATCTTGGCCGTCCTGGAGGCCAGCTTGGGCGCCTTGGAGGCCTCTTGAGCCGTCTTTGGGTTCCCGTCGGTCTTGGAACCGCCTCGGGGGCTTCGGGGCCGTCCTGGGACCAACGACGTTCCGACATTGGTGCTTGAGGGCCCTCATCGCCCCGCATGTGCGGGAGCGCTGTAATCAACATGTTGTTTGTTCGGAGGCTCGCTGAAACCTCGGCCGTCGACCATGCAGAAAGGAAAACCTGACTACTCGCCAACAGCACAGAGAATATGGACGGTTGGTACACCATGTGCACCTAATGAGCAGGCTAGTACGGCGTGGAAGGCTGGGCAACGGACGGGCCGTTCCGAATCGGGCGGGCCTTCTCCTGGGGCTTTAAATGCTGCGGCGGGTTAACGACTTGAGGCACATCCGTCGCCGCAGCCGCGCCAGCCGCCAAAACCCACCCCACAGACTTGCTGGGAGCGGACGCTAGCCTCAGGACGTGGTCGGGCGGAGGGTTTTTGGGCGGCCGCGGACAACGGGCCGATGCGACCAGAGGCGATACAGAAGGCTTTGCCGTGAAGTGCATCTGCGGAAACTCGTTCATCACCTGCATCTGCGGAACAACCATGCCCCCGTCAGTGACTCCGCTCGCCATCGGCCTCGGGACTCCGAGACAGCCACATGCGTTGGGAATCAATGCGCCCATCGTCTGAATCGGTCTGAAGTTGTTGCCGAGCGGGTTCATCGGCACATGCTGAATCAGCGGCGCATGCTGCGGGCGCATGCTGATGATGCCCTCGCACCCGCGAGCCACGGCCATGGGTCCATAGTATCCGTCCTGGCAGCTGGCGTGGCCAGTGCAAGCCACTGCGCCCGTCCGGGTAGGAGCCGATCGGGCCATGTTGTGGTTGCCGTCGGTCGCCATCTTGAAGTATTGCTGCATGGCCCCATCGATGGGGACGATGATGTAGCCCGCGTTGATCGCACTGGGTGGCCGTGGAAGGAGTCCTGCATGCCCAGGTGGTTGCACTGCCCCAGGTGGTAGCACTGCATGCCCGCGGTGGTCGCACTGAGTGGCCGCAAGGCCGCCGAAACAGCCTGCGGCTAGCGGACGTCTGTCGCCGCCGTCCTGGTTGCCCGCGGGCAACGCAGCGCCCACGCACGGCTGCGCCTCCTGGTCGTGGTGACCACCGCCGCCGCCGCCGTCCTGGTTGTCCGCATCGTTGCCGACGGTCTGCGGCGGCGCCGCTTCAGCGGCTGTAGGGGCTGGTGGGGCTGGTGCGGCTGGTGGCGCTGGTGGGGCTGGTGCGGCTGTCGCCGTTGGAGCGGCTGGCGCCGCTGGAGCGGCTGGTGCGGCTTCGTGCGACATGCCTGGTGGTGACCATGGTTTGTCAATTGTTGTTGAGCTGCTAGGGCCTGGAACAGTCCAGCGCCTGGCACCGTCGGGGTGTTCGAAGAGTCCGCCGCCGCGGTGCGTCGCAGCCCAGGCTCGTGAGCGGGATCTGTCGGTGCATTTTCGGCGGGGTAGAGGGTGATGGGATGGTGGGCTTTATTATGCGTGCTGCCAACGTGCGATGGCGGTAAGTGCCGAGGGTGTTGGTACAAGGCTTGTGGGGGGGTGGGCTTCCTGGAGGGAGGATGGGGGCCAGAGCCGCGCTGCCTGCACCGCGTGAAAATCTGCGGAATGTGCACCCGTCGCCAGTTTCGTTGGCTCCTGGGGGGTCATCTGGAATGCATGTCTGCCCTCTGGCCCTCTGGTTACCTGGTTCCCGACCTAAGCGCGGCGGAGGGCGGAAGGAGTCGAATATAGCGCCAGCCACGGCATCACTCTCGGTTGCCGTCCATCGCTCGTCTCCCGAAACGCGCTTCACAAGGTCGCTCAATGCTTGTATGGAAGTGCCGCCGAGGCGTTTGTCCATGTATGCGGTGCGAGACCCACCGCTGAGCCGAGAACATAGCTATGAGCGGAAGTGGATGGGGGAGAAGAGGAACAACGACAGGCATCTACGGTGCCATGTGCGCCACTGCCACGATGGAGAGTTCGGGATCTGGTTGAGACTACTTCTGCAGAATACTCT